AGCACTGGACTGCTAACTACAAATTTGGTGGTTCAAAGCTACCAGTCACTCCTCGGAAACCCCATCCCGTGTTACTATGAGGGGAACCAACTTGACAGCACATAACAATACCTGGTGTGGCTCTGTAGGATCAGCACTGAACTGTGAACCACAAGGCTGGCAGTTCAAACCCACCAGCTGCTCCATGGACACCCTATACAGGGTCGCTATGAGTCGGAACCAACTCAATGGTGCACAACAACAAAGATTTTAGAATTCTCCCTTTATCCCTGGTATCCTCAAGTTTATGACAAAGTTCCATGGTCTGCATCTTCTTTCATCTGTCATACTAGCCACTTGGTGCACCTCTTCGATCTAACAGAAATCTTGCGTTTCTCTTGGATAGTGGCCTTACCTGTTTCCTCCGGTTGCTCAATGTTCCATGAGTAGAAGACCTGACCTCCTGGGAATGAGCCTCTAATTGTCTTATCTTTCCTACTGTCATCTCTTACTTTTTATTCTCTTCCCAGAGTTTTTCAACTCTATCCCCCAATTCTTCTGAACAGTTTGGCTAACACACTGTAATTTCCAAGAGCTCTTCCTGGTTTTCAGTCTTTTAAAACAGCAGCCAGTTCTTGTTTCGTGGGTGCACTATCTTCTTTTAATACCTCTACAGACATCAGAGCTTTTCTGCAATACTCGGCTCTTACCAGAATTTTCTGTTTCTTCCTGGGTCCTGGACTCTGTTGACTTATTGTAATTTTATTTTCAAATTAGACACCCTCATATCTGTTGGTCCTTTTAACCTGTTTGTTCACATTTAACCAGGAGGCACACAACAGGTGACTGGAAACTCTTTTGGGATTGGACGTGTTCAACATGAACACATTCAAAGTATGAAAGACAAAGTCTCACAATCCTTGTTTCCAAGGAGTTCTTCTGGCTGTGCTACTTCTAAGACAAATTCGTCCCTTCCTCTGGCGATCCACTGTATACTGACGGCTTGTTGATATCTGTGAGTGACTAGGTGGCGAGTGGCCCAGCTCTTTTGATGAGGAATCCTCATGGGTCAGCACCTACGATTTTGCCACTGCTCCTGTTGCTCCAGAGAAGACTCCTCTAATCCCTAGCTGGCGTGATATACACCTGGCAGCCCAGAAACCTGAAAAGGAGCACCACAGGCATCCGGGGCATCTCACTATCCACTAAGTGGACATTCACTTAATCCCCACTTATCAATGTGTGTCCCCAAAGTTTCTGCAGTCCTTAATCGATACTTCCAAGTGCTGGCCAAGTGTGGGGTTTCAAAAAGTTCATGGAAAAATGAAGTTCTTCCGCAAGCTGTTTGTCTCCCCCTTGTAATAAAATGTTGCCAGTCTATCTAGGGCAGATGCTAAGACTCAAATATCTCTCAATTCCCTAGTGGTTAGTTAGCCCAGTAGCTAGACACAGTGGGCACCCAGTAAGAGCTGGGTAAAGCAGAAATATGTCCCAGCACATGCCAGCCAAACCTTGGGGTCAGAGAGTCTTGCCTGGCAGCACACGGAGTCCTTAGCATTGATACTTCAAAACTTCTCTCTTCGCATATCACTTACTCACATTTCTGGAAAACAGGTACCTTATTCCCTCCAAATTACCTAAATACACCCTCTCTCAACCACAAAGGTGATCCTACCACCTCATGGTCATGACGCTTTTTCGATGATATTCTGAACCCAGCCCTCCCTCCCTCACTCCTCCGACAATGATCACATACTGTCAAGGGAACTGACCCCGCTCAACCAAGGCAGCACGATTGTATGGTGAGAATCTGTGCTCAGTTGCTTAAATGTGGGAGGAAGGACAATCAGGTCAAATTGTGGGGTGCTCTTTGCAGTTTAGTTGCCCACCCCTGTGGACATGAAATCCAAACTTCGGGTTGGGTTTCCACAGGAATGCCAATCAAAAGAGAGCATCGTGTAAGAAAAACAGAAAAACATTTCTGTGTTGTTAACATGTAAGTCAGATCAGATGCAGGAAAACCTAAACAACACGCTCTTCTGTACCCTAAAAACCACAGTAGCTGACGGTGGTCAGCACAGAAACCTCACATGTAAAATTTAGGGAAAAACAGATAAAAAGCGAAGAAAATAACTGACTAAAAAAATTTAAATAATTGGTATTATTGTTAAGTGCCACGAAGTCAGTTCTGACTCATGGTGACCCTGTAAAGGGTTTCTGAGGCTGTAAACCTTTATGGGAACAGAAAGCCTCATTCTTCTCCCATGGAGCAGCTGGTGAGTTTGAACCAGCAACTTTGTGGTTGTCCTATGGAGCCATGGTATTTACCAACTGTCACATGGTGGTGGTTAAGTACTATAGGATCAGTTCTGACTCAAGTGACCCTGTACAGAGTTTTTAAGGCTGTAAATGTTTGTGGGAGCAGAAAGCCTCATCGTTCACCCGTGGAACAGCTGGTAGTTTTGAACTGCTGACCTTGAGGTTAGCAGCCCGACTCATAAACACTACGCTACCAGAGGTCCTAAACTGTCTTATGTTGTTGTTAAGTGCGTCAAGTTGGTTCTGATCCACAGCGACCCTGTATAGGGTTTTTGAGGAGTGGCTGGTGAGCTTGAACTGCCAATCTTGTGGTTCAAACTGACTATGCAGTCCAGCGCACGAACCCACAGCGCCACCCCAGGGCTCCAACTGTCACATCGTCTTCTGAAATTAATGAGTGTGATATTGACCTATGAACTTCGATGTGTGGTGGCTGTCGGTGGTTGTGTGCCAGCTGTGATACACCTCACAGCGGCCCTATAGAAGGATTCTGAGGCTATACATTGTCTCCCGAGGAGCAGCTGGTGAGCTGGCTGCCGACCTGGTGCCTGGCAGTGGGGTGTGAGCCACAACACAACCTGGGCTCTTTTTATATTCAAATAACAAAATAAATTATACTATCAAGTAAAAATTATCTAATAACATAAAGATATTAAATTAAATGTAATTTTAAAAATACAAGTAACTTCATCTGAGTTAATTGGCCTAATAATGTGTTCAGTGCTTCTGTCCCACTTCATTTGTTGAGCAGTGCCTGGGGTCTTCCACGCTTGCAAATGGCCAGCTAGGGTACACAATTGGTCTCTATATGCCTGAAGCAACAGAGAAAGGAGAGGCAGGAAGGAGGAGGAAATGAAATGTATGGCTAATGCCAAGACACCAGAGCTGTGTGGTGCCCACTCACCATCATTAAACATTGTGATCAGAGATACTATCAAAACATCCTGATCAAAAGGGGGGGAAATGCAGAAGAGAATTTCAAATTTTCAGCAACTCGAGATATTCTGGGGTTATGGAGGATAGATGAACCCCTGAAATTATGCCCTGAAACAGTCTTTAAACCAAAACCAGTCTATCAAGTCTTCTTCAAACCAAACAATGTTGTTGTTGTTAAGTGCCACTGAATTGGTTCCAAGTCACAGTGACCCTGCATAGGGTTTCCAAGGAGCGGTTGGTGGCTTTGAATCACCACCTTACGGTTCAAATCGACCTTGCAATCTAGGGCTTATCCTACAGCGTCACACCAGGACTCCAAACAACAGGTTAGTTTAACCAGTAAAAGAAAAGGTCTGCCTTTAGCCCTGTGCTCTCCCAAGAGCTATCTCTATGGAATCTAACAGACAATAGCTCAGAAGATTAGAGGGGAGCCTTCGGGGCAGGGAAACTGAGGGAGGAGCAACTCAGAGAAGGAGGTTGCGAATGACTGCACACCCCGAAGAAGGTCATGAATGTCACGACACTACATATAGAGTAAGGGTCTACAGAAGTAATGTTAAGTCTCTGACTTTGTGAATTCCACCCCTCTGTCACTTGTCTGACAGCAGGCCGATTCTTCGGGAGCTAGTCCGCCTAATTTACTTCTGGGTTACGATGCAGGTCAGAAATGCAACCCTGCCCTAGCACGCTGTCCTTCGACCCCTCTCCCTACAGAGGGAGAAGCAAGAAACCTGCCACCTCTCCTTCGGGGTGGACTAAAGTCTTCACATGGTTTAGTTAAGAAAAAAGCTTCCTGAAGACATGTTGGCTGGTGGTCACAGGCGAAGGAGTTTGGAATCTCGGAAGGGGCAATGTAACGGGGTAGGGGGGAAACCCAGGTCGGCCTTTTCCAGACTTCATAGGAGCAAAGCCAGCTTTCTAAGAGAATAAGGAGTATTCAAATGTGGACCCTTTCTGTTGCTCAATTTTCAAGAGAAAACAAGTTCTCATCTGAGTTAACCAGCCTTCTTTCAGTGTGGTATTGAACATGCGCAGAAGGAATGAAAACTATAAACTAAAACGAGGGCAACAATTAAAGGTGGGTGCAGTGAGCTACAGTCAGACGCTACCCAACAATTCTGAAAGCCAGTTCCAGCCCCAAGTCTGTTCCGCTGATTCTGAAGGGAAACACATCGACAATGACCAAGATGTAGATACACTGCTTAAAAGGAGTCCTGGTTGTGCTAGGTTTAAAGCACTCAGTGCTGACAGGTCAATGGTTCAAATCTCATCTACTCGGCAGGAAAAAGATGCAGCACTCTGCTAAAGTACAGACTTACAGTCGGGCGACCTCTATAGGACAGTTCCACCTAGGGCCGCTACAAGTCAGAACCAACTCAACAGCACTGGGTTTGCTTACTTGCTTTGTACATGAGGAGCTTCAAAAAATTCAAGGAAGAAATCCATTTTCTTTTCCTTCCATTTCTCCACAAACTTTTTGAAGCCGCCTCAAGTAGTATTTTAGCCTTCTCTTTGGTTTTTGTCCTATGGTTCTGAATCATTCTGAACACATGCATTCCCAAGTTTTTGGAGGCCAATGAAGCAACAGTAAAATCACTCTTTGGAATTTACTTTGGTTTGTATTGAAGCGTCTCAGGGTACAAGCACAGGAGTTGCTTTCGCAAGCAGCTGGCTTAGTGAACAGAGTATGTGACCTTCCAAAGCCTCCAATTTCCCATTTACCTACAACACAAGGTTTTAGCCTGCCCGGGTCCCTGGAGGAAGGGTCAGAAGTCATTGTCACTCTCATCCAGGGGCTCAGGTTTGCGGATCCTGCGACTGGGCTTGGCTGGGGACAGAACGATGCTCTCGTCTTCCAGATCATCATCGTCTTCTTCATCATCGTCCATGTCAATTTCACTGTCTTCTGAGTCATCCTGGAGAAGAACACAAGTGCAACTTGGGGTTGCATCCTGTTTCCCACATTGTGTGCGTAGAGACCCTGCCTCCTGGTTTTACCTGCAGCTGATGGGGTTAAAGCACAGTAAGTTGTGCCCCCCAACCTGAAGGAAGGGCTCGGAGGAGAAAGGGGGTGCACCAAGCCTATATACTGCCTCCAAAGCAGGACCTTCAAATGCTGATGTGCTAGTTGGGCCTGGCGCTGGGGGCCGGCTCTCACCCTGATGTCTGGAAGCCCTGTGGGATCCGCCCTGTGTGCCCCTGGGGATCCCGGGACCCACGGGGCAGAGTGATGAGAGACAGGAGAGAGGCTGTCAGAGTGGAGGTAGAAAAGAATGCAGCAAATACGTGTAAAGAGCAAAGACAAGGAGACACTCGCTCTTTCATCACCTCAACGAATGAAATGCATCTGCTTGCCAGAGACTTTCTAGGTTTTAAAGAGGGCAGTCCCCTGTCCCAGGAACCCTCTGAGTTCTGGGTCAACCAGACGGCTGGTCCCACTATCCAGGTCCTTCCCATGAGCACACACTATGCTGACATTGGCAGACCTCAGAGAAACTGAGGCTGGCTCCAGACCACCGCAATCCAGCAAGTCACATGCATCTTTGGGTTTTGCAGTATGGCTAGAGGTGACGTTAGCAGCTGACTGTAGCCTAGGAAGTGTGCAACAGCTCGGTGGGAACGTCAGGAATAAGACGGCAAAGACTGAATTGGACAGAGAGACACGAAGTGAGCACATGCCGCTGGAAGAGTAGACATGCTAGGCGGATGGGTGAAATACGCATTTTCTGTGAAGCACAAGAGCTATACATAAGCTGCACACTTTCTGTTTTTCATAAATTAAGATGTGTGCTTTGTGAAAACTTGAAATAATCACCGAAGTGTGAAGCATAAAGTAAAACACAGTCGGCTTCCTGTCACGCGGGCTGCTGGAGGCACATAACGTGCACACCTTCTACACAAAAACCTGAGCTGTACCCATCCTGCTGAGGCCTCAGCGCCTCGGTTCCCTGATGGAGAGGGACTGGCTGGGCAGTACTAACCTGACACCAGCGGACTGCGCTCATCTTCTTTCTACACAAAAACCTGAGCTGTACCCATCCTGCTGAGGCCTCAGCGCCTCGGTTCCCTGATGGAGAGGGACTGGCTGGGCAGTACTAACCTGACACCAGCGGACTGCGCTCATCTTCCTTCTACACAAAAACCTGAGCTGTACCCATCCTGCTGAGGCCTCAGCGCCTCGGTTCCCTGATGGAGAGGGACTGGCTGGGCAGTACTAACCTGACACCAGCGGACTGCGCTCATCTTCCTACTCTGGTTTCTTCCCTACTTGTTACAGAGCAATCCTGCCCGAGGCCGGTGCTGACTGACAGTCTCTCATCCGGGTGCTAAAGGCCAGGCCTTGGGAGTGTATTCTTCAACATTCTGGCCCTGACGGAGCTCAAGAGTGGGCCCGGGCCTACTGTAGCACCCCTCCACCTCAGACTGTAGTTAAGGCCAGAGGACCACCACCCATAGCTCCTCCCTCAGGCTGGTGCTCCACTTCCCCTCCTGGCACTTGGCCGCTCCCCATCCGACAGAGGGGAGAAACATCACTCCGGAGCCAATCCCTCCCTGGTTTAAACACAGACAAATAGACAAGGTTAAAAGAGAAAACCAACCTGCTTCTTGGCGCTGGAAGTCTTGCTTTTACCTATGTGAGCTGCTGCTGCTTCCGTCTTTGGAAAGCAAGAACGGAAAGAAGATGAGGAGAAAAAAGGAGAGCAAGCACATTCAGTGGAAAAGAAAGGAAACGAGTCCTCAGCGAGCAAAGAAAACCGTGCCGCGCCTACGGAAGCCAGACCCCGCCATGAGTCACGCACCAGGCTGCCCCGACTCTGGCCTGGCTGCACAGCCCCTCAGCGGTCTCGTAAAGGAGACCAGTCTGAGATGGGGGACACGGGACAGACCCTCAGAGGGACTCACATCATCATCCGAGTCTCCGCCCTGCATTGTGCCCACGATGCGCTTGCTGGGTCTCCCTGGGGGTAAGAAAACCACACAGAACAATGAGAGCCCACGGGACTGTGAGGAGCCCTGGAGGCACAGAGTTTAGCAGATGGAACCCACCCAGCCACTCCAAGAAAGATCTGCTGCACCTGCTTCTGTACAGATTGTTGTTGTTGTGACGTGCCATCGAGTCGGTTCCGACTCACAGTGACGCTGTATAGAGTTTCCAAGGAGCAGCTGGTGGGTTTGAACTGCAGACTTTGGGGTTCGCAGTCCAGTGCTGATCCTACAGTGCCACACCAGGTTACTGCCAAGGAAACCCTATGGGGCAGTTCTCTGTGACAGGGGGTCACTATGAATTGAAAAATTAACTCAGTGGCTCTTAACAATACCAGGAGTCACGACTGATGTCAGAGGAAGTGCCACGAGAATGAGATGGGGCCTGGCCGCCACCACTGAACCTTCTGACTGGGGCCACACTAACCAGACACTGAGAGAATGGGAGAGGAATATGGACCTCAACTTCCTTAGAAACAAACAAACAAAAAAACAGACCAATTGGATTGCTGGAGACTAGAGGGCTCCCTGAGATACTCTTCAACCCTGAACCCAAACTAACATAATTGAAACCACACGAGGTCCCACGCAGCTAAACAACAAATTGGCTCAAACCCCTGTGACTGCTGTGCTCCATCAAAAACATCACTGAGATGAGAGCAAATGGCCCACAGCGACCTTCTAACAAAGAGGAGAAGGGGAGAGGGAGGAAAACTAGATGAATGAAAATGGAACAACCAGAATGGAAATTATCACGTTCACCCACTGTAAAGAATGCAATCAGGGTCACTGAACAACGTGTGCAGCTGTGGGGCGAGAACTTGACCTGCTGCGTACACCTTCACCAAAAACACAGATAAATATCATCAAAAAGAAAAAAGTCAAAGAAATAAACAAGAAATCAGAGCATCCAGTTATCCTCCGAGAAGAGAGAAGAGAGAAGGGCAGTGAATGAGAAGAGTAGAACCTTCAATATGAGCATGTTTAACAACTTCAATCTTTTCTCCATTTACCATGATGTTATTTTTTGGCACACTTGTGAAGATTTTTGTTTTCTTTACATTGACTGAAGTGCAATCCACACTGAAGGCTGTAGTCTTTGATCTTCATCATCAAATACTTCAAATCCTCTTCGCTTTCAACAAGCAAGGCTGTGTCATCTGCCCATCACAGGCTGTTGATGAGTACTCTGCCAATCCTAATGCTGAGTTCCTCCTCATAGAATCCAGCTTCTTGGATTATTTGCTTAGTTGGCATACAGATGAATAAATTTGGTAAATGGATGCAACCCTGGAACAAACTTTCCTGATTTTAAACCATTCAGCGTCCCTTAGTTCTGTTTGAATGGCTGCCTCTTTGTCTATGTTACTTGTGAGCACAATGAAATGTTCTCTTCAGGCAGCAATATTAACCCTCGCTTGTCAAGATCTACACAGTGAAAGTCTTTGCATAATCAGTAAAGCACAGGTAAAAATCTTCCTGGCATTCTCTGCTTTCAGCCAAGGTCCGTCTAATGTCAGTACTAATATCCCCTGATCCACATCCTCAACGAATCTGGCTTAAGTCTCTGGCAGTTCTCTGTCAATGTGCTATGGCAGCAGTTTTTGAACTATATTTAGCCAAATTTTACTCGTATGAGGTATTAATGATATTCTCCAATGGATTCTGTAGTCCATGGGTCGGTCACCTCTCTTTGAAATAGGCACAACTATGGCTCGCTTTCGCCTCCAGTGCTGCATTAGCTTGTTGAAAGATTTCTGTTTGTCTTCCATCAATTCCGGGAGCTTTGTTCTTCAGCAATGCCATCATGCATCTTAGACTTCTTCCTTCAGTACCACTGGCTCTTGATATACTACCTCTTGAAATGGTCGAACACCATCGGCCACTTTCTTTTTGGTGCAGTGATTGTGTGTATTCCATCTTCTTTTGATGCTTTCTGCATCATTCAATATTTTGCCCATAGAATCCTTCAATATTGCAAGTTGAGGCTTGACATTTTCCTTCAGTTTTTTCAGCTTGAGAAATGCTGACCATGTTCTTCCTTTTTGGTTTTCTAACTCCAGATCTTTGCATACTTTGTGTAATACTTGTAATACTTGACTTCGTCTTCTGTTTGTTGTCGTTGTCTTTGTGTGCATTCTTTATTTCAAGTACCTACGAAACACTCCTACAAGTTATTCCTCAGGACAAGAACTAAGATCACCCTGTAAACACTCAGAGGCTACGTACACAACTTTACAGAACAGCTGGCCAGAGAACACAGTTCTGCGTGGACCTAGAAGAGAAGGAAACCAGATAGGGAAGGAAAGATGTCCATTGGAATCACATGCATTTGTCATCAGGGCAAATCTTGTAGCAGTCACAGAACCTGACGCTGTTTCTGGAAGGTTCCATGTGTCTAGTTGGCTACACCCCTGGTTGGAATGATTAGCTCAACAGTCATTCGAGTTCCTGGCCAGCCAAACTCCTGCAGCAAAAAGTCCCAAACTGAGGACCAAGTTCCTTCTCACAGGCCTGTCCTTCCAGTTTGGGAGCCCGTAGGCGGCCCAACCCGGTCCCAGAGCCTCCCTCCTCTGCCAGACACAGAAGGGTCTTAGCTCAGCCAGTGCCTCCCCCGATGGGCCAGGCAGTAACTCTCATCCATGTCCTATGGGCAGAGCTACTGCAGAAGCGCCCCAAGCCCAGGGCAGTTGGGGGCTGGGTTGGTGTCCAGGTAAGGGGGTCCCAAGCTCAAACCTGCAGGACCCTAAGCAGAGGGACCCTGGGTCCTTGTCTGGCAAGTGGCTTTGATCACTGTCTGAACTGGCTGGTGGGTCTGGTGCACCGCCCCTTTGTAGGGCCAGCCTGAGTTCAGACTGACATTGTTGGCAAAGTCTCCTCTAAATCCGGCTTATTCCACATGACTTTGTCTTCTTGAGATGCTCTTTGAAATTTTCTGTTCAGCTCTTTGCCTCTGTATTTCTTACGCGTGCATTAGCATCTCTACGCTGGAGAATACGTTTCAGACAGAGTCTCTCTGGTAAGCATTTTTGTCGTTTTCTCCTTTTTTGTCTTTGTAATGACCTTTTGCTTCCTTCCTGCATGATGTTCTCGCTATCAACCCATAACTCTTCTGTTCTTTGGTCATTAATGTCCAATGCATCAGAAATGAGACAATGTCTAAATTCAGGTGGGATATATTCAAGGTCGTATTTAAAAACCGAAATGGAAGCACCATTCGTCTGTCAGTCTGTCACACTGTGGTGGGTGTGTGTTTCTGGAAGGCTAGAAGTCATGCCACCAGTATTGTAAATAACAGGGTCACCCACATGGACAAGTTTAAGACAGACTAGGAAAGAGGAAAGGTGGGCTACTTCTGAATGTTTAGCCAATGAAAACCTTATGAACAGCAGTGGAACATTGTCAGGTAGCACCAGAATATTGAATATTGAAACATTATGAATAGCACCAGAATATTGTCAGATATAGTGCTAGAAGAAGAGTCCCTAAGGTTGGAAGGCACTCAAAATTCAACTGGGCAAGAGCTATCTCCTCAAAGTAGAGCTGACCATGATAACATGAATGGAATAGTTTACAGGACCTTCATTTGTAGATGGGCCACCAATGAGGAGAAACAGCTGTAAACATCCATCAATAATCAGGAGATGGAATGTATGAAATATGAATCTAGGAAAATCGGAAGTTGTCAAAAATGAAATGGAACGCATAAATACTGATACTTTAGGCACCAGTGAGTTGAAATGGACTGGGACTGGCCATTTTGAATCTGTCAATCATATGGTTTACTATGCCGGGAATGACAGAGATAAATGCCATCGCATTATCAACAAGAACATTTCAAGGTTTATCCTGAAGTACAGTGCTGTCCGTGATGGGATCATATCCATATGCCTATAAGACCAGTTAATACCACCGATTTTCAAATTTACCACGAAAGCCAGTGATCCCATTTAGAAATTGGGATTAAATCCCATTTTAAAAAATTAAATCCCATTTTAAAAACTTCTGTGATGGGTCAGAGAAAAAGAAGACCCCTAGTGAGAAGGACTGGAACAGTGGCAGCATCAATGGGCTCAAGCGTGGCAACAATTGTGAGGTTGGCCCAGGATCGGGCAAGTGTTTCTGTCTGTTGTGCATAGGGTCGCTATGAGTCAGTGCTGACTCGATGGCACCTAATAATGACAACAACACATAGTGCTCTTTGAGTCTATGCCTGCTGTGTGTGCGCATGTGCGCATGTGTAACTGAGGACTAGCATGGCTCCCACCTTAGACTGGGAATTGGGAGGTGAGGGGAGTTGCTCTTTGAGTCTATGCCTGCTGTGTGTGCGCGTGTGCGCATGTGTAACTGAGGACTAGCATGGCTCCCACCTTAGACTGGGAATTGGGAGGTGAGGGGAGTTGCTCTTTGAGTCTTTGACAAGAGAGTATAAATAAGAACAGTAACTTTCTAAAGGCAGAGGTGCTCACGTGAGTCCTTCGTACAGTAATTCTCTCACCATATGGGCTAGAGTGATCCCAGGGGCAGTCTGGGATCCAGAAAGGGCATGATACGTCCGGGGCCCAGGAACTGTATTCCCAAGGCCTTCTTGAGCAAAGGCAAGCCACAGCTAGGAACCAGCTCCTCTTGGTACAATAATGTTAGAAGCAAAGATCACACTGAGCACTCTAGGAGCCACATCCTGGCAAACAGGGCAGGACAGACATTGGAGCAAGCGCCATGTCTAGGGTCACTCCCAGTGAACTTGAGGACCTCTGTACCAAGCTGCGGTGCTTGTGGGAGAGACGCCCTGGGTGGGAGGTATTAAGGGTGGGCAGGGTCCGGATGGTGGGCTGCTGGGGTACCTTGCATGAGCACCTCCATGGCCGTGCGGGGCTTAGACAGCCGCCTCTCTTCCAGCTCACTGTCGGAATCATCGTCCTGAATGTCGATGTCCGAGTCCTCGTTACCTGGCAAGGACACACAGAAAACAAAAGGGCACTTAGAGCAAACAGACCAAGCCTTCGGTCACAGAACCGAAGCCCAACTCACCAACACCCTAAAGGACAGAGCAGAAGTGCCCTATGGGGTTTCCAAGATTCCCTTTTTTCAGGACAGACTGCCACATCTTTGTCCTACAGACTGGCTGGTAGGTTTGAATCACTAACCTTCTGGTTGGCAGCAGGTTCTTCAGCACAGTGTGCCCCCAGGGCCCCGTTACGTGTACATATACGTACAGAAACACTTATGCATATTTAATATTTATCTTTAAAATATTTTATAGACATATGCATGTGTATGAATAAATAATATATACTACACACACATATATAAGGGGGCTTCAAAATGTTAATGGGAATTTTCATTATCTTCTAATTTCATTTCTCCATGAACATTTCAAAGCCTCCTTGTATACACACATACCCACGTATGCATTTTGGTTAAGTGCCACTGAGTTGGTTCCAACTCATAGCCACCCTGTATAGGGTTTCTGAGAAGCAGCTGGTGTGTCTGAACTGCCGACCTTACTGTTAGTAGTCCAGTGTTTATCCTACCACGCCATACCATGATTACATATATGTGTATACATCTCAATTTTTCAAGACTGAAAGTGCCATTCTGGTCTAAGCAGCAGGGTTTCCCTCTGGTGTGTGAAGGGGTCAGGATGAGTCGGAGCTGACTCGGTGACACTTCCCAAGGACGTCCCCAGCACAGCCTTACTTCCACTCTTCAACAGGCGCTTTTCTTCTTCCTTTAGCTTACTCTGCATCAGACGGAGCGTGTTCTCAGCTTCCTGTGTGACGGGAAAAACCAGGCTCAGAAAAGATGGCCCTCTGGGGACTGTTTAATTATTCTTTGCCTTTTGGGGACGCCTACTACATCTATGATCCAGAAAAGGAAAGCTCTGAACTAGAGGCAAGGGACGAGGACAGAGATCACCTGAGCTACCATGCTGTCCCAAACCCAGACACCTTTCTCCCTATGACCACTCCACAGACCCAAAGCAAAGGCTTCGTCCACTTTCACCAAAAGCACAATAAAATATTCCTTTAAAAAAAATGATTATGTATTTCACTGCATTAAAAATAAAAAAGAAGAGATTGAGTATTCCAAGACAGTGGAACAGAGCATTACCCCAGGTATGGCCCATGTATCACATGTCCGGGAACATGACCACACCATGTGATGACATACCATCAAATCTGACAGCCCCAGGTGACCTGGATGACAGACTCCCAGCCAATCCTGAGATGACGGGAAGAACACATATCCGCTGGCTTTTCTCCACAAGGATATTTAGAACTGACAATAGCAACGACACACAAGGAGTGGTTTGTCCAGCGGGGCGGAGTGAGCACTCACCTCAAACTTCTCTTGCTCCATCCGATGATGATCTTCAAGCTGCTGCTCCAGGTAAGTCAGGTTGCGGAATTTCTCAAGATAGACATCATATTGCTTCTGCAGTTCTTCCTCAATCTTCTCGTATTCATCCATAAAGGCGGGCCTAGCAAGACAAAGGGAATCTTGGTGTGGCCTGTGGGTTAATGTGCTGGACTGTAAGGTCATTTGAACTGCAACGGCAGTGGTTCAAGCTCACTAGTCACTCCTCGGAAACCCTATGCAGGGTCGCTATGTGTCAGAACCGACTCAACAGCACTTAACAAAAACAGCAAGACGAAGTGGAATGAAAAGTAAAAAACCTATTAAGATGCTGTCGCTTGAGACTGGGATTCTGAGCTCCAGACCCCGCCATGGTTTTCTTAGGAACCCCTTAATGGAGAAAGCCCCCCTGCTCCTGTAAATGCTTAAAGGTGAGTTCCCTTTTCTCTCTCAAAAAGCAAGTACAGAGAACAAACAAGATGGCGGATCAGGTGGAAGTGCAGTGAGGCGCTCCGCCAGCAACAATGCAGACAGAATACCCAACCAAGCAGGCTCAGGGGATTGTTCCAGAACTCTGAACCACATATAAAAAGGAGGATTTATAAGGTTGGAAGGCTTACAGCCAGGGGAATTTGAGGCAGAAGCAAGAAATCCA